ACACCAATACACTAAGTTCGTACCAACAATAGCAACAACAACCTCTGTATTAAATCAAAATATGTTCAGAGTCTACCGGTCATCTCTTCAATTAAGCCCGCTGTCTCATCAGGCATCCCTGAGTTGCTAGTATCTGCTGGCTCGCATTGCTCAATGATTCCTGACCGATTAATCATTTGTATCAAAATAAAACCCTTCTCCGCGCGATGGTGGTCAACACATATTGAAAACGTACACGCGAGCGGCAAACGACCCACATAGTCCTAACCACAAGTCAATCGCAGCTGCTCTCTTCACATCACATCCTTGGAAATAATACCCGTGATATACCAAATCTTCTTCTTCGAAACAAAACATTACAATGTTCACAGAAGCGCTTTCGCGTGCAGTTCCTTTTTCGCATTGTCTTCGGAGGATTATGCAACCATACTCTTACAACAATACATTTGACCCACTAATTCGATACCGCACAAACAATACCACATTCCGTTCCACAAAATATTGGCAGCGCTTTTCAACCAAAGTCGCGCTGTGCTGGAGCGTCTGCCTAGCTGCTGGACGGAGCTAGTGTTTCTGAAACAGAGAGAGAACGAAAATTGGCCACAACCGTTATGGCAAGAAAGACAAACAAGAGACAAAGGAGGGAAACGACTCCGCTTCCGCGAAGCTGCCCATCCCTGCCCCTCCACTACAACGATACGCCGCTAGAAACGTGTTTCCACCCTCGCGCAGTGTGCTGCATTTATTCATCCCACACCTCATCCCACTGTCCAACTCCCCTTCTTATGTGCAATTAAATGGTATATTAACGAAGTGTAAAGTCTCCCAGCCCAGCCACACATGTACTGTATAATTATAGATGCAAATTGGGCCACAAATGAATCTGGTTCTAGCCCAAGGCACACATGTGTCCCCTAACTAAGAGCAGCTGTCATGTATCTTGCATGATGTGTATAGGGAAGACCCATTGCATGTATGCTAAGTATCATGTGACTAAGCCTCTTACATGCCAGAAAAAAGAAATGTGATCTTCATCGCCCTGTCTGTGTTATCAGGATATGTAGCACGTTTTTGTGTTATGATGCAATCTCTGGGTTTAATAGGTTTCACCTATTGGCAACTTTATAGTGGGCGATCACACAGAGATGTGCGATCTAGCAATGATGCGAACGAAGAGTCTTTTTTTTGGCAGCCGGGAGCAACACTCCCAATATCAAGTTCTCCATTATGTTCCACACCACATCGTTCAACTTCTATAAATCTTCAATCAACGACCCTGCAATCTGAAAGCGAGTCAGATGAAGAAGTTCCTTAAAAGCTACATTACAGGCAATTTTATCTTCACAAACGGCTCTACAAAAGCGGATGGAAGAAGTCCTCTGCCGTGTGAACTGTTTGGAAGAGTCTGTTAAGGAATCCTATGTTTCATCCTCTAGTAGTTGTGATGAAAGGAAGAGGAAAAAGCGTTTATCTTCTGAGCTATGTGTATGTTTATTATGCACACGTCTAATCACCTATATTTCAGTTTCTTTTATTTTTAGGGAAGGGTAGCAACAGTATATCAAGCTATGGATTCTGATGACCAGTTCCACTTGTCTGAAAGGTAACTCGGCAACTTCACAATGACTTTAATTACTTTGTATTGGTTAGGGGTGACTGTGTATGGAACAAGAGAGTGAAACCAAGCTTCGGGATGAATATCACTTTCTGATAAAGAAAATGGATATTCATTATCTGAGATAGATTGTGAGTTGATATTTTATCCTGTATTAGGTGTTCATGTTTTTGCAGTGGCTATTAAACGCTATTTTGAGTCACGGAAGCGTAATCACCGTGAGTGTAAACCGGAGCACAAACAAAGAGTGAGTGCACAAGAGAAACAGAGGAAAACAAGGTCTCGACGTCAGCGGGTAAGTGAAATTATACTTTTGGTTGGTATTTTTGTTAATATATTATATTATGATAACAGCTTTTTGACAGACGCAGAAAATGTGTTAGGGGATCTGAGCAGTGTTGGTGGGATAAGCTTTCATTAGAATACATGAGTTTTCAGTCTAGTGATGAAGAAGATAATATCACAGTCCATTCACTGCCTTGGAGATGCAAAAGTGAGCCTTTATTTGCTATTTTCATGTTCAGCTGCCTGGACATTATTTTTTACCAGAACTGAATGATTTCCTGGCTGTACTCGACAAAAGAGCAGATGAAAATCGCCAAAAGGTTAAACACCATGCAGCCGAGCGGAAAAGAAGACAACATGGACCAGATGCGGCTTCTTACCCTCCGGAAAACTCTCCGAAATGGACAATTAACAAGGATTGGAAGAAAGGTGTGTAGGAACTCATACTATTCTTTGTAAAGCTACATGTGGTTACTTACTATGCAGACCATGTTCAAGATCAAGACACCACAGAGCATAGTATGGACCTTTCAACTGAGGAGAAAGAACCTGAATAACTTTCCAGAACAAACTATTTTGTTATCATTTTAAGGCTGTAAAACTATTGTTGTTGAACTGAAAATATACTGTTAATTTACAGAAAAATTACTGAAAAATACTTATAGTTTACTGAAGGATATACATCACCAGAAACTCTCAGTATATCTGCAGTCCCAAAGTGGTTCCATATACTGTGGTGTACTCACAGTTTGCAGTGAGTGGACTGGTTGGTAAACCATCAGTCCACTCTTTGTAGTACTCACGATTTACTGTATATATTATACTGTCAGTAATCTGTCGCGCTTCAAACAGTGAACATCAAAGGGAATTATTCATGAGAGGTTCTAAGAGGCAGTAGACACACTTATCCAATGCATATCCGATAGATTTGATCAGCCTGGATATAGTGTGTATTGTAACCTAGAAAAAATTCTTATCAAAGGTGCTCAGGGCACTATGAAACTGAGCAGGACTCTGTTGTGAAAGATTTATACAAGTGGAAAAATCATTTCTTCAAAATGAAGGGCGATATAGGGATGGCTTGAAGCACCAAAAAGGAAGGAACAAGGGGTCATTACACAGCAAAGATGCACCAAGCTACATGACACCATCCCTATATCTTTGTCTCATAGTAAACTTTACTTGTGAACTATTATATAACACAAAGATATAGGGATGGTGTCATGTAGCTTGGTGCATCTTTGGTGCTTCAAGCCATCCCTATATCGCCCTTCATTTTGAAGAAATGATTTTTCCACTTGTTTCCACTATTTTTCATGCCTTCTGCATTTTCAGTCACTTTGATGTTCATGGGTGTTTTAGCGATAACTGTTGAAAGCAGAATCTAATGTACCTGAAGCAGGGTGTATGCGTAGTGTCTCCAACAACGATGCAATTAGGTTGCGGCACATATGGTGGGGTGATTTCATAGGCAGGCTTCAGTAATCAGACTACAATGATAGCTATAACATGGGGGACAAACAATGAAGGCGCTGATGCACACTTTTTCGTTATGTTGGCTGTAGTCAATTGTAACTTACCGGTAAGTGACTTGAATTGTTCCCATAGTTTTTATGATGCAGATCAAAGACCTGTGGCAATTTGTGAACTTTACCTTTCTATTCACAGTTTTTGGATGTGATGTTTCATATGTAAACTCTGCAGGTTCCCTCATTTCTAGAGAAACCATTACTGTACTTATTGCGTTTCTATTGTTTCTTTCTCTATCAACTCACCTTCACCATGCTGATGCACACTGCACACTTCTCTACACATGTCTCCCATACTGTACATACACTCTTGGTACTGTGGGCTCACGTATTGTACATACCCTTGTTACTGTGGGCTCACATATTGTAGGTCTCCCATACTGTACATATATAAGTTAGTTATTCCGTTCGAGGGAACTACGGGATTTCAATGAACCCGAGGGCCTCCGCGTTGTAGTGTCCCGAGCGCAGCGAGGGCAACTACGCGGATGGCCCGAGGGTTCATTGAAATCCCGTAGTTCCCGAGTATACGGAGTAACTAACATGTTTAGTGCAGAGCAGACGAATCCGCACACGCACAGCGCCCGTTTCCAGGCGACTGAAATTCGAATGAGCGTGAAGACGCGATTGGTAACCGACTCGAGCGAGGTTTCAGCCACCATCGGCGAGCCAGAAACGGTAGGCAGAAGCTATATCATCAGCACCCGCTCGCCGTCCGCCGCGCTTCGCGGAAAAGGGGCGCCGCCCACTCTACGCGCACGTATCCGCGGGCGTGACGTACCGCTAACGCTAGCGTACAGGCGCTCACGTACAGCTAGGCCCAGACTTCTTGTCTCTCTGTGCATACTGTTGAAACTAAAAAAGAATTATTGTAGACGATAAAGCTACATGTTTCTGTAGATTATGTATGTGATCTTGTCATTTTCATGTAAAAATTTTACATGAAAAACAAGGTTTACTATGGAGCGTCCCAGGTATACTACGGGAAATCAAGTACCTCGGGTGGACCAATCAGATTGCTCGATTTAAACCAGCTATGCACTAAATATACATATACCCTTGGTACTGTGGGCTCACATATTGTAGGTCTCCCATACTGTACATAGTACTGTGGGCTCACATATTGCAGGACTTACATACTGTACATGTATATGTACCCTTGGTGGTACTGTGGGCTCACATATTGTACACATACCGTACTCACTTATAGAGCCACAGTTTTTGTGCTATTCTTCCTATCTCCTCTTCTCTATTTTCTAGACTTTCTGAAGTATTCCAAACTCACATAATTAATGTAGGTCTCCCATACTGTACATATATCCTTTGTATATACTGTGGGCTCACATATTACAGGTCTTACATATTGTACATAATATAATACTGTGGGCTCACATATTGTAGGTCTCACATACTGTACATTATACCCTTTTATACTGTGGGCTCACGTATTGTTGGCTCCATACCTTACATATGTGACCGTCCACGCGAAAACCAGGCATAAGTCGGCAAAATTTTTTTATGCGATTTCACCGGATTCCGCGTTTTCTACCCTTTTGCCGTGCTCGTTAAAAATTTGGTGCGGATGACCCGTTCCATTCTGGAGATATAGCTGCTTTTGTACCTGGGAGTCAGACCTTCGAGATCCGAGAAACGGCAATTTTTCTACGTGGAGAAATTTTTCCGCATACGCGCTCCGTTACACGTCGTGCGTTGACACGCCCCCTAAAGCCGCTCGCACGGTTGTGGAACGAGGCTATCTCTCGTGGAAACGAAGAAGACAGGCTCAACGAAGGTAGCAGAAAAGCTTTTAGCATCGTTGGTAACCCTAGCTCCTCGTTAGGCAGTTGTTTTTTTGACGGCCCGTAAATTTCTCCGCGTAATTCCCGTGCTCGTTTACGGGCGCGTGGAGTTCGACGTAGCCTACTTCGAGGCGCCGCCACGGCCCTGGCGAGCGAGTTTCGACGCTCTAAAGTATGTAGCTGTCTTCTAGATAGATGTAGGTCCTTCTCCGTTAAAAAAGTCTGAATCGCGCGGTACCCGCTGTTTAGATTTGTAAAGGCTGTTTACTAAAAATCAATTTCGCCGACTTATGCCTGGTTTTCGCGTGTACGGTCACATATACCCTTGGTACTGTTGGCTGACATAATTGTAGGTCATCCCATACTGTACATATACCCTTGGTACTCACATATTGTGGGTTGTACATATACCCTAGCCTGGGAGGGGGAGTCCACAGTACCAAGGTTTTATGTACAGTATGTGAGACCCACAATACATGTACTACAGGAGGAACAGATCAAAGACTGTGAGTGATAGAGAAAAGACTGATGACTTTGAGTGCTCTATGGGGTACGCCGTGACCTGGTCGCCGACCGGCTATCTCCTCGTCCGCACGTAGGCGACTGTGCCGTAGGAGCTGTGTCACGGGTGTCGCGTGTACGGTCACATATACCCTTGGTACTGTTGGCTAACATAATTGTAGGTCATCCCATACTGTACATATACCCTTGGTACTCACATATTGTGGGTTGTACATATACCCTAGCCTGGGAGGGAGGGGGGGAGTCCACAGTACCAAGGGTTTATGTACAGTATGTGAGACCCACAATACATGTACTACAGGAGGAACAGATCAAAGACTGTGAGTGATAGAGAAAAGACTGATGACTTTGAGTGATAGTGTGGTGATAACCAAATGATCAATGGTTGTGGAATGGCAAACCCATTCACAACACCATCTCTTTCAGACCAGTTATCACCTAGGTAGGAAATAGTTATCACTTATTCAATCATTCCTTTCCTACTTAGCACTGGCATTCCTTGTAAATGGTGTTTCCTACCCACACCTAGAGTAGACATTATATAAGTAGCCACCAGTTTTGTACCATGTAGAGTCTTACCTCCATATTATCATTCTAATACACTACTCAGCTAAGATCCTCCCAGCACTATATACAAATGAGAACAGACTGACTACTGTGAGTGATAGGAAGTGCTTACCATCCCATCTAGGTTCTTTCATTACAATTAGTGTGCATTCACTGGCTTCTCCCTGAATAAATGAGAGTGTAGTTTTCTCACATCATAGAATACGTTTTTACGTCTATATTTTGCGATATATTCTGCAGGTTTTGTAGGACCAGTTGCCCCTTTTCTGACTGACCATAATACATCATTGAGAGAGGCTGGTGGTGTGTCCCAAGCTGGTCGACAGAGAGCATTGTATCCGAGGGGAGAGGACTGAGCATTATATGCTCAGGTTATGTGTGGACCTGGGTGAGTTGTTGCTAGGATCGATCTCCACACTCAGGTATGTTTGTACCTGAGTCAGTTGTTACTAGAGATCTCCACACTCAGGTGTTTACAGTATCTAACAGGATCCCAAAGAGGGCAGCTTTTTGTATGGAACTTGACACTGCATTAATTGTGTGTTTTGAAGAGTCTAAATGCAGCTGTCTACACTACTCTACACCTGATTGTAAGCCCGTCCACAATTGTTGTAAGATGTAAGATGTAAGATGTCTTGTGGACGGGCTTACAATAATCTTGTGGAAGATTGTTGTAAGATTGTAAGCCCATCCACAAGAGCGGCATGTGCAACCAGCAGCTACCTCCGCTGCAAGTCAGCAGTCGTCGCTCCAGTATAAAGGACAGCCCGTGTCTCTTCTCTCTCAGGCCCCACTCTTCCTCCCTCGTTTATTCTCCAGAAATGGGTCGAAGAGGCGGAGGTCAACGGCAACCCCTCGACAGAGTCCCAGTGAACAGAGGTGGACCAAGCGCAGCCAAAAAGAACGTCCGGGGGGAATACGAAACTCTCGCGGCGACGCTGGGTATCCATCATATTAGCGAGGTGCGGACGCTCGAGGCCGCCATTCGCCGCCTCAAAGAGCTGCTTGATTAACTATTGATTACATACTATTGAATATTACATACTATTGATTGGTTTTATGAAGTGTGTACACCATTCCAGGGGAAGATAATGATAGGACCCTACTATTACATGTTAATATACTGAGGTCTCTGTTGTAACTGGTTACTGCACTGTTATAACTATAGTTATGGCTCTTCTGTAACTGCTGAGGGCGCTGGACACCATGGCTGTAAGG